GAGCCCAAAACCGCCTCTCCCCTCTGCGAACTGCGCCTTTTTCCAGCAAGGAGAAAGCGAGCGAGGGTCGAGGGTTGACAAATGCACGCTCCGTCCGCACACCCGTCCGCACACCCGCCCCGCCTGGTCAAATCACAGATCTGCCTTTTCGGCGGTGCCGTTCATTTTCGCACGCTGCGCTGCGCTGCGCTGGGCTCTTGCGTTTTTTTGGCAGTGACATCCTCTGCACGGACTTAAGCCTGCGTGCAATGCTTTGAGCACTCGATACCGCTAGCTTAGCACCAAGGCGGTGCAATCGCTCTTCTCTTGGCGCGAGAAAAATGACCACGAAAAAAGGTGGATCAGGGTCTCTTGTCGCCTTTGCTGCGATCGATGCGTCCAGAAGCACCCAGTCCATGACGCGCACTCGACTCTCTTACAGTAGCCTCACGCACGCACGCACCATCGCTTCTCTCTGGTTGCTCTTTCGGCCAGCAGCCCATTTGGCTTTTAGAGTTAGCCCAACCGAGTGCGAGACTGCATGCCACCGCTCTCGCTTTCTTGTTTGCCCCCCGCCAAATGACAGCTCGCAACCCGCCGCGGCGGCAATTTACCCTCAACCCAGCCTCCAACACTCTCTGCCCCCGGCGGAACGATCTAAAAAGCCGCTCGCGGCCGTCCAAAGCTGTTTTGCTTGCCATTGTGTTGCTTTGCTCGGCGTTGCTTCTTCCGTAGCCACGTTGTTTTGTGGCATGTGAGAATCAGGGCCAGCGCCCCAGTGTGACACCGAGACAGAACACCATGGCGTGGCTGATCGGCATGCTTGTTCGCTGGCTTGAAAGCGCTCGTTGGAATGCCCGAGGGTCCAGGGTTGAAGGCAATTCTGCTGGTGCGCAATCCTAGCCGAATCTGCAGGGTGCATCCGCTCCCAACGTCTCGCCTCGAACCCTGTCCGGCTTGCTTTTTCTCGGCCCACAAAAACACACTTCGCCGCCCGATCCAAGCATCCATCGGGGCCGCGGTGATGGATTCCGAAATCCGAAGATCCACCAACTTTTAGCTTCCAACCTCCACGCCTGGCTCTTGTTTCTTCGCACACAAAGCACACTTGCACCACCATGGCATCTGCTTCGACCAGCGTAGCGGGCGCAGGCACCAACGGTCGACCCGTTGTATTTATGGACATCTCCATCGGCGACCACCCGGCAGGCCGCATCAAGTTCGAGCTGTATTCCGACATCGTGCCGCGCACCTGCGAGAACTTCCGCCAGCTGTGTACGGGCGAGTTCCGTCCCAACCACACACCCGAGGGCTACAAGAACGCCATCTTCCACCGCATCATCAAGGACTTTATGTGCCAGGGCGGAGACTACATCAATGCAGACGGCACCGGCTCCCGCTCCATCTACGGCGACACTTTCCAAGACGAGAATTTCAGCCTCAAACACGACCAGCCGGGCCTGCTCAGCATGGCCAATTCGGGTCCGGGCACAAACGGTTGCCAGTTCTTCATCACCGCTCAGCCATGCCCCTTTTTGGACGGAAAACATGTGGTGTTTGGCAAGGTCGTCGACGGTCTTTTGACGTTGAGGAAGATGGAGAATGTTCCGACGGGCGCAAACAACCGTCCCAAGATGGACGTCAGGATCACACGTAAGTTACAAGCCTTGTCGTAGGATCGAGATGGCAGATTGGCTGACGTCCCTCTGTTTGACGCTACAGAATGCGGCGAAATGTAGTCCTGCAAACGGCTCTTTCAATCATATACCCACTGCAACCCTCTTGATGCTGTGCGATGCTAGAATCGTCGACGTGTGTGAGGTCCCGACAGTGAACACCATGGGCACCACCGGTGATCTCATTTTTCGCCGGGACGCAGCGCAGATCTTTGCCGTTGCGCTGCTTAGAATGCCGTGGTAGCAGCGATGCATTATCGATGTGCCATCCCCCACCGTTCGCAAATCTTCCGGACCGGAGAAGGCATGCGATCGGGCAATCGTTTTGAGATCAAGGCGTCGAGCCCGATGGAAAAGTGGAGAATGGCACGAGCTGCAAGATGAAATCATGATCGATGGCCCGCCTTCGCCCTCGCAACACCCGACTGGCCAAGCCAATCCCACCACTGCTAGAGCATGCTGCGCGCTTCCAGCATTGTACATACGCAAGCAGCATGGCTCGATGCGAGCAGTTTCGGTGCCTAGAAAGTTTGACACGCCTAGCCGAGGCCCGACCATGCTCCGAAGTTCCTTCCAAACCGCATTCTCAAGTCATATTGGCACGCACAATCACTCACAATCACTCGAACGTAGCTGCTTTCGCAGACTCGCTACCGGTTGAAAGAAAGCCAGAGGCTCGAGAGTGGTGGGCTGACTGGCGTCTGACACTGACCAAAGGGTCTTGCGCCAAACGGTGGGAGCCGACGAGGATCGCTCGTGCGTCTCGCTGTGCAGCTGCACGCAGCAGCAGCAGCGCGGCGTACAATGCCGTCACAAAAAGCGCACTGCGAAAGGTTTGAGATGACGACGGATTTCAAGTTCGGAATCGGGGGCTCTCACTCGACGAAATCTCGCTGAAATCACGCACGCCCAGCCACACAAAAACCACAAAAAAAAATAAGAAGAAAAAGAAAGAAAGAGAAAAATCAAGGGTTGGAATCCGATGACGCGCTGATGCACCCGTCTCTCAACTTCTCGCCCCTCCCGACCGAGATCGGAAGAAGGCACCGACAGCCGCTACACTGCTACACTGCTGCACTGCGACACTAGTCCAGCGGCACGGATGCACACCGATCTTCGGACCGTGGCCCGGGCGCGCGTGCCGCTCCTGCGCTTTATCGCTGCCAGATCAGCAGCACGCAGCTCTCTCCACCCACGCCTCGCCTCGTTGCGCTGCGCTGTGCTGTGCTGGGCTGCCCTCGAATGTGACTGTGACTGATCGAGAGAGGGCCCAAGATCTCCGAAGAGAGCAGCGCATCGCAATCGTATATAGTCGGCCCACCCGCTGCCATCGCGCCGTTCCTTTCTTCCGCATCCCACCTTTCCAACAACTCCAGCCTTTCCCCCACCACCACCATCACCGTGTCGGAAATACAATCCACCAAAATGTCCGCCCTCGACTCGCTCAAGCAGTACACCGCCGTCGTCTCGGACTCGGGCGACTTTGAGTCCATCGACGCCTACAAGCCCCAGGACGCCACCACCAACCCTGTAAGTCTGGCTTTGCTATCCCTACTCGAGCGTCAAATGTTCCCAGTCGCTGACACTTCGCCTTTGTGTGATTTCGACAGTCGCTCATCCTGGCCGCCGTCAAGCAGGAAAAGTACGCGCGTCTCATCGACGTCGCCGTGCAGTACGCCAAGGAGCAGACCTCGGACAAGACCAAGCAGCTCGACCTCGCCACTGACCGTCTGCTCGTCGCCTTTGGTGTGGAGATCCTCAAGATCATCCCCGGCCGTGTCTCGACCGAGGTGGACGCGCGCCTCTCGTTCGACAAGGAGGCCACCATCGCCAAGGCCAAGTCGCTCATCGCCCTGTACGAGTCGCTCGGCGTCAAGCGCGAGCGCGTCCTCATCAAGATCGCCTCCACCTGGGAGGGCATCCAGGCCGCCCGCGAGCTCGAGTCGCAGCACAACATCCACTGCAACCTCACGCTCCTCTTTGGCTTCAACCAGGCCGTCGCCTGCGCCGAGGCCGGTGTGACGCTCATCTCGCCCTTTGTCGGCCGCATCCTCGACTACTACAAGAAGGCCGAGGGCAAGGAGTACGCCTCGCACGAGGACCCCGGTGTGCTCTCGGTGCAGCGCATCTACAACTACTACCGCCAGCACGGCTACAAGACCATCGTCATGGGCGCCTCGTTCCGCAACACGGGCGAGATCCTCGAGCTCGCCGGCTGCGACTTCCTCACCATCTCGCCCAAGCTGCTCGAGGAGCTCAAGAACGCCCAGGGCCCCATCGAGCAGAAGCTGTCGGTCGACAAGGCCAACGCCGCCGAGAAGATCCCCAAGGTGTCGTACATCAACGACCAGCCCGCCTTCCTGCTCGACCTCGCCAAGGACCCCATGGCCAACACCAAGCTCGCCGAGGGCATCGCCGGCTTTGCCAAGGACGGCGCCACCATGGAGCAGATGATCGCCGACAAGCTCTAAATTTTGTGCGACAAGAGCCTAAACATCCATGCCTCCTATATGCCCTGTACCATAGTCCTGCAGTAAACAAAACGAATTTGCCATGGTTTTTTGGCTATGTGTTGCGCCCGAGAGATCGACGCAAGTCGCACTTGTCGTGTGCTTAGTGGGTGCGAGAGGAGGCGAGGATGCCTGCCTCTTGCTTTCATCCTAGCCTTAAAATAAGCTGTGTCGGAAAGTGGTGCAGATGGAAGAACGAATTGCCAGGTCGTCGTTGCTCGAAAGAGAAGGGCGGTTGGGGGATTGGCGACTTGTTGTGTGCGGAGAGTGAGAGGAGGTTAACGTCGCGATTCGCATGACACTTTGCTCCTTTACGGCATCTTGGATACCCGTTGTCACGGGGAGTTGGGGAGGGGTTCGAAGGATCAAAAAGCGAAGCTCCAGGTGCGGGTAATACAATGTTGGCGTCTATTTCCCAAAGGTGACGAGGGGGAGGCGTCGCTGAAGCTGATCCTGAGCATACGGTTGGTCTGTCGGGCTCAGTCAATGGCACCGATATCAACCACGCGCTGCCAAGCTTGCATTTCTACTCGCTTGGTCGAGGCTGACAACGACCGCTTGACGCTATCACCCGCTCCCCCCCC